ATCATGAATCATCCATTAAATTTTCGATTCTAATTTCGAAACTTAACCCCAATTTTTCAATCGGTTCCGCGCAATTGAGCATGCAGTGGCTCTCGCCTTCTCTTCCCGGGCTTTCTTGTTGTCCCGCTCAAAAACCAAAATCGATCGAGAAATTCTAGGGTTTCCTTGCAGATAATAATGGGGACTCTGCATGATCTGATAGAAGAAGCCAAGCTTCGAACCGTATGGTGGGCTCTATGTATATTCTCAGTGTGCTACTTCCTGACGCGTAAGTTTAAGAATCTTAATTTGTTTTAGAAATTTTCATTTTTTTTTAAATTTCTTTGCTGCGTATGTGAGATGTAACGGAACTTGTTTTTTTTGTTCTGTGTTCTTTTTATGGATTAGGGAGTATCATATTATACATGTCCATTGATCTATGTATCCATCAGAAATGTGTAATTTCAAATGATTACAATGCTGATTAGAGAATCCTAGTTATGGACCTATGATTACCGACTTACAGCCTGGTTAGCAAATGAATATGGCAATCCTTTGGTAGCTTGGTTTTTCTGCATATGAGTCCTACACCCAATATTTCACTGTGCTGCTAAATCGGTAAAATGAATCTAGCTTCAGATTACTTTCGTTTTTCCTTCCTACCAAACAAAACCAAACAAACTCAGAAGTCCAGAATATATCACTCAATAGTGGGGTCTGGAAGGGAAGGTGTGTCGAACTTAATTACCTCTATGTCAGTGTGAGCCAGGATGTGTTTGGATTTTTTGTTCATAAACAAATACTCCAGAATATAGTACAAGTGCTATTTTTGAGAAATCCCAACAGATATTAACAGATAGTGTGGAGTGAAAAAAGGTTCCTCCTTTTCTTTCTTGCTTAAGGATGTGTTTGGTCGGAGGGGAGGAGAGAGAAAGGAAGGGTGGCGATGTGAATGTTTTTTTTCAAAAAAAAAACATTCCTCACCCTTTCTTTCCCTCCTCTCCCCTACTCTCCAACCAAATACATCCTAAATGTTTAACTGAGTTCACATATGATTTTTAAATAGCTAGAATCTGAGGAACAAGACTGTAAATGGGTGGATAAGTTAATAAATGAGAGCATACTATTAATATATATAATTACAATAAGAGTTTGCACTGTCTAAATGGATTTCAAAGTTGACAGGAATAATGAAAGTTGTAGATGGATTTTTTTGGGGGTTGTGTGATAGTTTCACTTTGCAGTTCTCTTCTAAAGTTTTGCTACCTTGGTTGCAGACACTAGTAAATCGATGTGGATGAATTTCCCAATTGCTGTTTTGTTAGTGTCTGTGTTAAGGATGGTATTGAATGAGGTGGAGTTTCATTGGAAACATCAAAATGTTAGGCGGCAGACGTACTTGTCACATTTGGAAAAGAAACAGCTATCGGTGAATGATTCCCGTCTTTCTACATCACTGCCTCCACCAAAATGGAAGAGGAAATTTGATGCCCCTCTTGTGGAAGCTGCCACAGAGGAATTTGTGAACAAGCTCTTACATGATTTTGTAAAAGATTTGTGGTATTCTGATATTACGCCGGACAAGGAAGCACCTGACCTAATACATGATGTAATTATGGATGCCTTAGCTGAAATATCTCAAAGAGTCAAAGAAATAAACATTGTTGACCTGTTGACAAGGTATCATTTGTAATCATATCATATGTCATTAGATCACCTTTCATAAGCCGTAATTCAATATATTTTTAGGACATACAGCTCAGTCCTTCAGAGTGTAAGAACTTCTTTTTTTATAGGAAGGGTTAAATTCTTGATACTGATCAACTGTGCTTTGATGATTAAGGGATATAGTGGACCTGATAGGAGACCATTTGGACCTTTTCCGTAGAAGCCAAGCTGCAATTGGCAGGGACATAATGGGGACACTTTCGTCTGAAGAGAGGGATGAGAGATTGAAACAGCATTTATCAGCCTCTAAAGAACTCCACCCAGCTCTGATATCTGCAGAGTGTGAATACAAGGTGTGAATGTAGTGCTCTTATGAAGATATATCCATTTACTTGAATTTCATTTGTTCTAGGGTATCAACTTATTCTTCGTTGGAATAGGTTCTTCAGCGTCTTGTGAGCGGAATCCTAGCTATAGTGCTAAGACCAAAAGAAGCCCAATGCCCTCTGGTTCGCTGCATTGCTCGAGAAATTGTTGTTTGTTTGGTAATTCAACCTATAATGAATTTTGCAAGTCCATGGTGGGTAATCTTCTTATTAATGTTCTTGTCAAGCTTTTTGTTATGCTACCCCGTCCGTGTGTAATGTTATCTGCCCGTTTTAATAGTTATGGACTACTATTTTATGTAATCTAATTTTATGGGTGAAAAGTGGTCCTCTATTGATATCAAGTGTGGTATCCATTAGTTAATATTTGATCTGGCAGTAATGACTAATGGGTAACCCATTTCTCGTCTTCTCTATATTCTCATGAAAATAATTCGATGCACCAAATGGGTGCTGCACAAGGTGATGACAAGGCAAAAGCAAACTAGAATGTGGCTCAACTGGAACAAGAATATGGGTTGAACAAGGTAGCAAATGAGAGCTCATAGGATATCCATATAAGGCGCTAGTTGAAGTTTTTGTTTAGAGTTTTGATTTGTTTGGCTGATGTGGCCATCTCAATGATAAACTACGGAGATTGTGGTTGACTAACACCCACCGAAAGCGGAGGGATATACTTGGTTGGAAAAGTTGAATTTTTAAAGATTATTAGGCCAATAATAAGATTAGAGGTATATGTGTTTCTCAACATTTAATTGTAAAATGTTGGTGTGCTTTTATGCCTTAGTCTGTAACTTGTGCTTTTTGTGCTTTGTGTCTAGTTGCTAGAGTCGGTTTGTGCTCATATTTTGTCTATGCTCGTACTTCATTCGTGCTACTATAGTTTCTTTGTCTGCACTTTTATACTTGAGTTGGGGGTCTCTTGGAAACAATCTCTCTACTACCTAGTAGGGATAAGTTTTGCATATACACACCCTCACGGCCTCCCCAAACGCTACTTTTTGTGGGATTTTTCTGGCTTTGTTGTTACAGTTGCATGGTAAGATTTGCTTACATTATACCCTTGTGGTGGGAAACTTCCTAAACCCTCACTAAAAGGGACGCATTGTGTGTCGGGTTGCTCTTTTTCAACCCTACTACTTTATCCTCTGAAGTTAGTTGATGGTTTTATCTGTTACCCTCATTTGGATCATTTTACAGTTAAAAGTACTTTTCTTCTCCTCACAAACAATGTTAAACTGTATAATTACGAATCTTGAATTAAAATGCTCTATATCTGATATTCTTTCACTATTACTCTTCCATGGCAAAATGTATGTAACTGATCTGTATTTTATTAATAGAAATCATCTAAAGCACCAGCTCTGCATATCTGAATGAGATTCAATATGATCTAATGATTGCAATGGATTAGGACTTTGGAGTTTCTTTGAGTCAACTTGTTTACAAAAACACATGTTTTTTAGCAGAAAGAGAAATGATTTTACTTTAAAAAGAAGTGTTTGAGTAGGAAATTTAGAAAGTACTTTTAATTCAAAAAATGCACTTCTTAAGCTTATTTAAGAAAGCACCGGATTAGTTTTTTCTTAAGCACCTGCACTTCTAGTGCTAAATTGAAAAGGCACCCAAATCTCTCATTTGTCATTTCTCTTAATTGTCATACCAGTAAAAATTAAGTAAAAAGAAACTACCTTATTCAGTGGTTCCGTTGATGTATCTTTGCATTCCACTCTTTTATGATCATCTTCAGATATACCATCCTTGTAGGTACATCAATGAGTTGATTGAATATATATTTTCTGCAATTAAGGATTTTATCAAAGATATATCTACAAATATGGAGGGTCATGACCATGATCATGCTGCTCCTGCAGAAAATATACATAGCAGTGATTTTTCCTTCACAAGAACTGCATCTGATGTTTCTGGAAACTCCATGTCTAATCAAATTCTTCAAGAGGAGCCAATCCATCCACGACCTGCGGAATGGGTTCGTGCCTTCGAAGCAGCAAATCTGAAAAGAACGGAAGTTCTAATGCCTGAAAACCTTGAGAATATGTGGGCTATAGGGAAAAACTATAAGAAAAAATTCAGGAAGTATGCTTCTATTGACTCTCAAGATCCACAAGAATTTGGTGGTGTTATTAATGATTCACAAATTATAGCCAAGGAAATAGCAACTCAGAAGCCCGAAATATTTTTGGGAAAGGAAGATAAGGCTCTGGTAAAATTTCAGTATATCCCTATTCTATCCCTAGAGCACATATGTATTATATTATCATCTATAATTGCCTCTGAACAAATAGCTAGCCTCTTAAGCAAGCAAGCCCTTGAATGCAGGAAGCTGAAGACGCTGCTTCCATTACAACCCCTGAGAGTAAAACTAAGTTTAAGAGATCAAATAGCACATTCGATTTGAATACCCAACTAGAGATGGAAGATATGTTGGCTAGTAAAGGTGGACAATATAAGTCAAAATGCAATAATGCTGAGGTTGGGAGGAATGCTAGTGCATCAGAAATGATATTACACCGGGACATACATCTAGTTCCAAAGCTCAAATGCCGGGTATAAGAACTATATTACCTTTTATCCTTATAGTCATGTAAATGTTACAAGAGCCTTATCTTCCTTTCCTAAAAAATATTCGGGGTAATACTTAATTCCTTGATGCAAAAGGTTTTAGGGGCATATTTTGAGAAACTGGGGTCACAATCTTTCGCAGTTTACTCAGTTGCTGTGACAGATGCTGATAATAACACTTGGTTCGTGAAGAGAAGGTCTGGTTTTCTTTTTATCTTCTACTTTCTCCCCGCCAGAAAAAAATCATGTTTCAAAACTTATGTTTGTCCCAAAACAAAGGCATATTTCAAAAAAGTTTTTTTTAATTTAATGCATTATTTTTTTCAAAAAAGATTACTCTGAACAAGTTGAGTGTTTTAAGTTTAGTTGAAAGACAAACACACTTTATAAAATAATTAGAATTGACAATTTACTAGAGTTGCACCTTCCCAAAATTACTAGCTTGTTACATGTTTATGTTTTTAAAGCATAGTTGGAACCTTATGTTGTTCCTATTTCTTGGTTATCCTAGAGCTTGGTTCATTGAATGCTATTTGTTCCTGCTGTCTTAGCAGATACAGGAACTTTGAGAGATTGCACCGACACCTAAAGGACATTCCAAATTACATATTACATTTGCCCCCTAAAAGAATTTTTTCTTCAAGCACAGAAGATGCTTTTGTTCACCAGCGATGTATCTTGCTTGACAAGTACTTACAGGTACATTCCAGCCGCTCTCTACAACTTTGTAATGCACTGTTTTATATTTCTTAAAGCTGTTTTCAGGTCTTCATTTTTTTGACAGGATCTCTTGTCCATTGCTAATGTTGCTGAGCAACATGAAGTGTGGGATTTTCTAAGTACTAATTCAAAGGTGTGTAGTTTTGTTTGTTCAGGTGGTTCTAATTTTGCATTATAAACTCATGTTTATTTAAGCAAACTTTTGATTTACATGGATGAAGAGCTATTCCTTTGGAAAGCCATCTTCAGTGATGAGAACTTTGGCAGGTATGGCTTCACCTTGACTTATCTTCATTATACTTTACAGCATTCACCTTTTTGTTTAAATCACTTTATTCTAAAGAATTTATAGTAGTCGATTTTAGTTGACAAGTCAAAGATTTTTCCTTTTGGAGAAGAAATTGAAGTTTAAGATTTGAAAACCAGGTATCTGAAAGTGTTAGACTAGAGTTCCTTGAAATGAATCATTGCATAGTTCTGCTTGTCAGACAATCTTTTCTCAATAATGTTGAAATCCCGGCTATTTAGTTACTCCGTCCGTTCTATAAAAAGACTCCACTTTGATGAGTGTATAACTCTTAGAAGTTTTGTAAGGTACAACTTTTAGAAAGCCTTAGGCCCTTAAATATAACATTATTTCTAAGAAATACTCCCTCCGTCACTATTTTGATTATGATATTCTCTTTTCACATACTTTAATATTATGTCAAATCAAATAAGTCTTTTTCCAAAATACCACTAATCAATGACTAGCCTCATATCTAATTTTTGCACACATGGGGGTGGGGATATAAAAGGTGGGGGTATTTTTGTCTTAAAGGTGTCCAAATGTTACCAAAGTGGAATATTGTAATCCATTTTGGGACAATAAAAAGGGGGAATATTGTAATCAAAATAGGGATGGAGGGAGTATGACTTTTATGGGACAAAATAACTTGAGAAACCAACAACAACAACAACAACCCAGTTAAATCCCACAAGAGTAGGGTCTGGAGAGGGTGTGTGTACGCAGACCTTGCCCCTACTCGAAAGTAGAGAGGCTGTTTCCAAAGAGACCCCCGGCTCAACGTCGAAAGTTGCATTGCTTGACTAACTGCTACTTCATTAATTAAAGAAGCGCAGACAATTTAGAGATCCATTTTGATTTATTCCATCACACCCCAAAGCCAAAAAATGGTGAAATTTTGGCTCCATCGGAGATGATGGAACGAAACCAAACTCTTTTTATAGACAGATGGATTTTTTATTGTTTGGGTTGTTTTCTATTGATGACGGTTGATGTTGATATTGTTTTCTTTTGACTTGTAAGCTAGGAGTTGTGTGTCAAGGTTCATTAGAAAATGGGTAGTTTTGTTTTGTCATGTATGATAACCCGTATTGTTTTTCATTTTTTTGGTAAAAAATCAGTTAAAGTGGACGATGCTGTGGATGATATATTTCGCCAATTTAAAGGAGTCTCTGATGGTTTAGTTCAGAAAGCTGTTGGTTCCCCCACTACATCTTATACTGCACTTTCGGGCAAAAAAATGTCCTGGAATGATGATGACATTAATAAACTTGCATTGAGGCAAAACAGTTCAGAGCTGCTAAACAGTTCATCTGACGGAGGTTTCAGTCCACAAGCCAATGGGTGGCATTCAGACAATGAAGCCAACCCAAGGGAGTTCCCTCATCAAGCCATAAACCATGGTGAGGATTTCAAAGGCTTCGGGTCTAACACCAAGAGCAGTTCAGGACCACATTATGAGGTTGTTGGTACTAGTGGATGTCCTGAAGCAAATTTTGCCACTCTCTCGGGTCAACAGGAGGCCCCAATTGATGTGCCACCAGAGGTATTGATAGTGACCTAACATCCTTGGACTTTCAACTGAAATTTCTTTCATTATGATTTTTATTATCATTATGCGCATGCCAGGGGCACTACCATAAATTTGATCTTGGTGTGTGTCTGGAAAGGAAAATCATGTATTTAAACTTTTATATTACAAAATTAAGCATACGTTTTTTTTCCTAACAAAATTAGCGGTGGGCCGGGACCCGGTAATGCCCGCTCCAAATTCACATCAGCTCTGAATTATTCCTGCTAGCCAAATTACTTGAGTAAGGTGAAAATTAATTTTGGGGGCAGGCCATCGCTTCTCTTTATTTATATTTAATATGGAGTTTTATTTCACCAGCTGATAGTGCAGGATATAGATCCCTTGACTAATCACCCTTAGATCCCATATTAAGGAATATTCCAATAACCAAGTGATTAAATTGACTGAAGGGGTTTGAACTACAGATGAAGTAGAAACAGTGACTGACGAAATTATCATTTCTTCCTAGTTAACAAGTTTATGATAGCATAAGAATATCCCTTCGAAGCCAAAGAAAATAATCCGAGTAATATTCATGATATAGCCTGCGTTCTGCAGGTTTTGTGTTCCTCTTTCATCAAATAAAGGGTTTCTATACATATATTTACTCCATCCTTGTTGATATTTCCTCGCAGTGGACACCTCCAAATTTAAGTGTGCCTATTCTCAATTTAGTAGACAATGTATTTCAGCTCAAAAGAAGAGGATGGTTAAGGTAAAGCTACTTTTCATTTCTTACCCTTTCTTTTTCTTTTGTTTTTTGAGAGAAGGCCTTAGTGTATGTTTGGCAATTGGCATGAGGCCTGATTAGATGAAAAGCTATTTTTAAACTTTCGGGTAGCTTATACGGAGTAGCTTTTAGCAACCGGAAAGTCTGTATGCTGTTTGATAAAAGCTGTCTTGCCAGACCCACAACTAAGGGCTTTTGCACAACAATAGCTTTTCATAAGAAATAAATAAAAAGCTTTTCTAAAGCATACCCTTGGGACACATGATAAGAAACAATTAATGAGCATTTATAATGTTTATAGTTTTCTTAAATCATCATTGATAATGGTTATAAATATATAAAATTTTCTGATAATTATATTGATTTTTTAAATAGCATGTTTCCTTTGAAACTATCGCCTCTTTTCATGTAACTTGAAATCGAAGAACAATGGTTTCTATTTATTATGGGCCATGGGAACACATTAGGCCACCCCGAAAACAAAAGCAATTTGTAAGGGAAAAAAATCTTGAAAATGCTACTTGGATTAGCCTTGGAGAAAAACTCACAGCTTCTCAAAAAACTCTTTTTACCAAAATACTAAATGCTACAAAACAAGGAGCATCTGGGGAGATCTTAGCTATAGAAAAGGTAGAAGATGTAAGTTTGTGCTTCAAAACATGCATGAAGTTTCTTCTCTAGTTGTACAAGATTTAATGAAGGGGGCCTAGAGAAAGGACAATTTTGTGACAGTATGTGCCTAGATAAGAGGGCACATAGGGATTCTGATGTATGTGTGCATATATTGTTTCCACTAGGAATTCACTCTAGAGTCTAAGCATCCTGCAAGCAAAAGAGATGTCTCACCACAACCCCACAGTCGTTTGGCATTTTAACTTCTTATCATGGTGCATTTGTGCAGTTTTGGTAATGAAACATGACGGTATTCCTGTCATTCTCTCATTTGTTTTACTTTATTTTATTTATATTACGTATTGAAAACTTCACACTTCCTCCGTCTCGCAATTAACGCCGCACTTTCCTTTTCTAGCCCAAAGTAAATATCACAATTCTCCCATTTCCTTTCAAGGTAAAATATATGTAGCTTACAATATTTTCCGTTCTTTTAAACAAAACCTAACCAAACAAAACCTAACCACACTTCGTGAAGTCAAAAGTCAAAATAAGAATTCACACTTATTTTACTACTTTTCATTTTGTTGACTTTGTGGTCAAATAATTGACCAAAATGAAAAATGATGCAATTGGAGGGGGTGCGGGGGTGCATTAGGGCCGGTCCGGGCTAGGAGGGTTTACCGGGGGGCTTAGGGGGTAGGAACAATCAATTTTATGAACGGAGCATTGTAGGTACCCCAAACGAATTGTTGCAAGATTTGTTGTTGTAAGATTAAGTGTCCTCTCTGTCTCTCTCTCTCTCTGTGTGTGTGTGTCTATATATATATATATATGTATGTATGTATATGTATGTATGTATGTATGTATGTATATGTGTATGTGTATGTGTATGTGTATGTGTATGTGTATGTGTATGTGTATGTGTATGTGTATGTGTATGTGTATGTGTATGTGTATATCTCATATATCGTCATGCTAAAATTTCACAAAAATCCAAGGTCGTTTGGTATGAAATCCATCAACTTATATTTTAACATGTTTTAAGCCTATATATTACGTTAAGTTTTTTTTAATCGGATGGTTTGGCCCTGTTCTTTGGGTTTGAAAANTGTGTGTGTGTATGTGTATGTGTATGTGTATGTGTATGTGTATGTGTATATCTCATATATCGTCATGCTAAAATTTCACAAAAATCCAAGGTCGTTTGGTATGAAATCCATCAACTTATATTTTAACATGTTTTAAGCCTATATATTACGTTAAGTTTTTTTTAATCGGATGGTTTGGCCCTGTTCTTTGGGTTTGAAAAATTAACTTCCAACTTTTTTTAACTCCTTCCACTTTCTTCTGACTCCTTCCAGTTCCTCCAAACTCTTTCTAGTTCCTTCCAACAACAATTTAAAAAAGGTATTTATATATGATGAACATATAATACCATAATATATCTAAATTTATAACAAACCACCTCAAACACGGAGTAGGGTGAATTCTTTTTTATCCAAAATTAGAGTTTTCTTGCATATTTATTTGGGTGATCATTTAATTGAATGACTTTTTAACACTTTAATTATTCCAACATTTTCAACTCCTTCCCGTTTCTTCCAACATCCAACTCAAAAGAACAAGGCGAAAGTATTAAATGACCTTTGATTTTTGTGAAATTTTAGGATGACTATGATAGAATAAGGCAGTTAGTACCTGTGTAATACTATAGGTTATATGTTGTACTTCATGGACAATCTTAATGTGTTTTTGTTACTCCACTTTTATGCAGGAGACAAGTATTTTGGATATCAAAGCAAATATTGCAGTTGATGATGGAAGACGCTATTGATGACTGGCTGTTAATGCAAATCCATTGGCTTCGGCGGGAAGATGTGATTGCCCAAGGAATACGTTGGATCCAAGATGTAATAGTCTTTTCTTATCGTGTTTCTCATTAACATAAGCAGTTCAATGGGAACTCAAATGATTTACAACACAATTAATCAGATATTGCAGGTAATAAATACTTATACTATTAATGTGTGTATTTATATATATCTACGTTTTTTCAGATTCTCTGGCCAGATGGAATTTTCTTCCTGAAAACAACCACTCGTAGTGAAAGAAATGATGGTCAACCCTCTCAGCGATATGGGAATCCCACAAGACAGTTTTCAATGGGTTGGGCGTATAAAGCTGGTTCTTTTGAGCAGCAGCTTGAGGCTGCTCGCAGGGCTAGTAGCGTAAAAAAGATGCTTTTCAGTGAGTTTTCCCATCTTATTCTTAATGGTTAAAAGTCACACTTACTTGAGAGTAAAAGGCTTCAAATATGCTGTTTTACCTCTACCTCCATCTCCTTTACATTTTTTATTTTCTGTTTTATCCCTTCTTTGATTCCAAGTTTCCAACTGGTCGCCATTCCATCCATTAGCCCTTTGAGCTCATGCTGACTATCCCTTCGCGTGCTTCTTGACATCTTAGTTTTTTTACACCATCTAATTACTTATTCCAGATACTGCCCCAAGTGCTTTAGTCAGCTTGATCGGCAAAAAACAGTACAAGCGTTGTGCTCGAGATATATACTATTTCCTTCAGGTATGGCATTGCATTCATCTAATTGTATGAATCGACGGAACTTCTGTTTTGGCACTTTGGAAAATGATTGGGGAAAACCAAAAATATAAAGGGGATCGGGAAGTAAAAAGAATGTGCGGGAAAATAAAGAATAGCTTCAAAGTTCAAACTCAGTATATGAATTTTAGATATCTGTTAAAACTAATTGTATTCAAGTATCTTTATTATATGAAGCCTAAGAAATCTAAATTTATGTAAATTTTTAGCAAGTCTTAATTTTCCTTCTCTTTGTGCCAATGCAAATCCGGTTCCAAAAATCAAGAGACCATTTTCCTTATTATCTTTCTTTTCCTTAACATCTTATGAGTTCCGAACATATGCTTACTTATTTATTGACCTTTCTTATGTTTGTTGTTTCATTGGAACTAACCACTGGTAAACTTCGTTGTGAATTGCAGTCTACTGTATGCTTAAAGCAAGTGGCTTATGCAATCCTTGAACTTGTGCTAGTATCAATCTTTCCCGAGTTACGGGATATTGTGAAGGATATCCATGAAAAGATGCATTCTCAACCTGCATAAGGATCAGAGTGTTAAGAAAACTCCTTTGAGTCTTCCCAAACATCTCAAGAGAAGCTATTCAAACAAATGGCAGGGTATCCTACTGATTACCAGCAGCGTTTACCAGCCAACTCCTTAGATCAGAATAGGATTTTTGAAACTGAAATTTTTTTTCTCTTGGATGTGAGAAAAGAGTTTTCCTTACCTTCTTACATCTTGTGTACACTGTAAATAACAGAACCAAATCAGAGCATGTATTACATGTATATATACAATGCATTCTTTTCTAGTATATTCTTTTTAGAGTCCGCGTGGCAATGGTTATCTGGATTTGGCTGGAAGGAAACACGTTTGGTAACAACTTTCATTTCAACCAAATTTGAGAAGTTTTAATTCTGTTTGGCAACTTTTCTAGTATATTCTTTTTAGAGTCCGCGTGGCAATTGTTATAAGCAGAAAACTGTCCGCCAAACGGAGCGTTTATCATTCACTGGCTTTAGATTCTGTTGTACTTTAGCTGTTTACCAGAAATCCTTGCATGAACAGATGCCATCTCGGAACACATGGAAGAGCTTTGCATCCTTAACAATCAGTTCTCTTCCAAAAACCTTGGAAACAAACTTGAATGCAGAGTGGCAATCATTGCAGGTACGAAGGTTCTTTGTTACCCTCAACATTGTACCTGTCTTTGTTCTCATCAATCCTAAAGCAATAGCCAACTTCTCACTATGGTGATTCAATATGTCCCTTTTAACAAAATCTGCTACGTCCTGAAACACACAGTTCATGTCAGGAACATAACCTTCTGCTTCAATTCTCAAGACCATTTCCTTCAGAAACTCCTAGATCTCAGGATACAGAGGATGATCTTTCTCACTTGCCATAAACCGGTACACTTCTCCATTTATCTCTATCAAACTTGCACCCGGTTCTTTCTTCAGATTTTTCGACTGAAGCAATAATCTAGTCATCTTTACACCCTTTTGATTCCCGAGGAAGGCATAAATGTTTGAAAGCAGCACATAATACCCTGCATCATCTGGATTCATCTCAAAGAGTCTCTCTGAGATCTGAACCCCCAATTCAACATTTCCGTGAACCTTACAGGCAGCTAATAAAGCGCCATAAACCTCAACACTGGGCTGCATATTCAGGTTGCTAACAATCATTGAATAGGCATCGTTCAACCGACCTGCCCGACCAAGAAGGTCAACAACACATGCATAGTGCTTATGGTTGGGAACAATATTCCAACTCTCAACCATACTGTTAAAAATCTGAAGGCCTTTGTCAACCATCCTGGCATGACTACAAGCACACAAGACAGAGACCAATGTTGAGTCATTTGGAGTCACACCCGAAGTCTCCATCATCATGAAGAGCTCAATTGCTTGATTACCATATCCATGCATCGCATTACCAGCAATCAATGCATTCCAGCAAGTGACATCGTCCTTTCTGACCATCGTTGCAAAAAATCTTCTCGCATCGTTCAACTTGGCACAGTTGGCGTACATGTCAATAATGGCTGACCCGACGAATACATCATCTTCAAAACCAGTTTTAACTGCTAGTCCATGAACTCGCCTGCCCTGTTGAAGGGCTGCCCAAGAGCTGCAGCAAGATATGATACTTGCTAAGCAAACAGAATCGAGGAGTATCATTCCATCTGAACCCATCATCACATTGAAGTACCGAATGGTCTTTGTCCAGTCTCCGATTCTTGAAAATCCTGTTAACATCAATGTCCAAGCAACTATGTCCCTCTTACTCAGTTCAAGAAACAAAGAGTGAGCGTCAGAAATACAGCTAAGTTTCGTATATGCATCCATTAAAGCAGTTTTGAGACGATCGTCGTCGCATCCAAGTCTTACTGCTAAAGCCTGGACTCCACTTAACATCCGCACGCTATCTAAAACCAACAAGGATGATGAAACTAAGCTCATGATTGTTACGGCGTCAGGAGAAACCATCCCTCTTCTCATCAAACTAAACAGCTGAATGGCTTCCTCGCCAAACCCGTTATCTGAATAAGCAGAAAGCATGGCATTCCAGGAAACCCTGCTGTTTCTCTCGGACATATTGTCAAACACCTTTCTTGCACTGATCGGACATCCAAACATCGAATACATGCCAACCAACGCTGTCTCCACATACACATTCCTCTCGAAATTCTGTCTCAGCCAGTAGCAATGGACTGATTTCCCCAGCAGAGTCAATCCCAAGGCCCCAAAAGCAGGCAAGACACTCGAAATCGTGACCTCGTTAGGCCTGAGCCCGTAATCAACAACCATCTCAAGAAAAGCCTCAGTGGCTTCAACAAATTGACCATTTTTCACCAACCCCGAGAGGAGTATTGTCCAGGAAAACAAGTTTTTACCCACGATTCGAGAGAACAGTTTCTGGGCATCTGGTAAAAGTCCGGAGCAGGCGTAAGAGTTCAGCAAGCAGTTGCAGAGGAAGATATTGCTGCAAAGACCTGACGTGAGCAGGTTGGCGTGTATTTCTGGAATGTGTTCTCGCTGTTTGAGCGCTTTCTGGATCCACGCATATGAATGGCTGTTGGAATGGGAGGCGCGAGAAAGTTGGACGGGGCTATGATGACGGCGGAAAATGCAAAGGTTATGATTGACCGTAGCAAGTTGTCTCATCCTCTCCTGTCTGCACCAGAATCGATCCGACGGAGAAAAAAATAAGGCCCTTTTTTCAGAAGAAAAAAAAAAGAATAAGCCACATGCCCGGTAACACCTCCTGTGATACAGTAGAAAGATAAATTGGATTTTAATTACGAATTAGTGACAGGAAACATGGTGTGCATGTGGTATTTACAAAGGTCCTATGCTTAGTATAATTGTCTCTCAGCTCAGTTACCACAAATCGAACTCGGGTACGCCTTTGTCACTTTCTCCCTTTGCCAACTGCACATGGTACTTGAAGGGCGTTTTTTCTAAAAAAATTATTCACATGTAACACAGGTTTTATTAAAATAATTCTCATGTCAGCATATTTTTTGAGAAGACAACAAAGGTTCTTATGTTTTTTTTGTAATGACGGGAGAAGACATTTCCAATACTTCATCCATAAGCGTTAATAAATGTATTTTTTCCTACTTTGCCCTTAATTTTTATGGCAATAATACTAAGTCTCTCACGTTTTGATTTCTTTGTTTTTATTTTTTTTGTTACCCTTTTTTTAATTGTTTTAAAAAACTTTTTCTAGAAAATTGTACCAAAAAATTTAAATTTTTTTATGATATATAAATAAATGAAATAAAAATGTTTCCTAAAAGAGAAAAGACAGAGTAAAATTAAAAATTTAAGAAACAATGCAAAATTTTTCCCTAGAAAGTCCTCAAGATTCTTTTTTGAATACTTTGTAGTAGTAAATAGTAATAAAAATAAAAGAGAGATACAATTTTCTTTTTTGATAAGGTCCCTATTTTATTTATTTTTTTATACAATACAAAAATTTGAATTTTCGAAATTATTTTTTAGAAGAAACTTTATAGAGACCTTTTTGAAAAAAACTAAATGAAAAAAGAGACAAAAAAAGGAAACAAAGCAACTAAAAAGTGAATGACCTAAAATTTATTACCATAAAATATTAAGGGCAATATAGGAAAAACGCATTTATTAAGATCAATACATGAAATATTAGATGAAATGTCCCCTCTTAGTTATTTCAACCAAATTTAAGAGCCTCTCTTACCTTTTGAAAGTATAGGGACTTGAGAGTTATTTCGACAAAACTCGCGTCATCTAGGAGTAGTATTTTGGCCTTTTTTAAAAATGAACTAGTAAAAAATACTCATTCCGTCCCAAAATAATTTGATTTTTTAAGCCCAATTTTACAAAATTAGACTACAAGTTATAAAAAATAAAATTATTTGCTAATATAAATTCAATAAAACTAGTTATTTTAAGATCTTGTTTTGATATATCAAAATTTAAAAATATTTATTCACTTCAAATTATACATAACATTTATTAATGGTCAAATTTGATACGATAAAAAGAAAGAGATATGTGAAACCTTTTTATAAAATGAGGAGAGTATTCTTCTATTACTCTACAACTCCTAAAAGAGTTCAAAAGGACGATAAGATATCTTTCTTGGCAATGTGTGTCGATCACCACCTCTCCCACTGCACTCCTTAGACTTGATCCAAATTAGGTTGTGCTTTATTTGTCTGATCTAATTGATTTTAGTTTAAATTTTTTTAATGTCTAATCTGAAATGATATAAATGGTGATTCGAATGTATTTAATATGACGTGATTCAAATTAAAGTTAAAATCATGTCACATAATTTTATTGTTTTTTAACATTGTCATGATTATTTATATAATTATTAATTAATTCATCAATACATAAATACACCAAATAACTTGCATTCTAGATTTATTTACTTTATGAAAGAAATAAAAAATTGAGTAATACATTCAAGATATAGAAGAAGAAAATTGCTGACAACAAGCAATCATTGGAAATATGTGGATGTTAGGTTAAAAAATGATAAAATTTGTATATTGTAAGCTAATAGTGTTGTGCTAACATAATTTTCTAATTGTAGGTATCTCAAAAAATTACTCCCTATTTTTCTTTTTTTATTTGTGATCCAAAATACTTTGCTTCAACATGTTTTCAATATCATTTAATATTAATTTGATATGATCTGATTATATCTAATCGCAATCGTTTTTTAAAAAATAATCACTTACTTTTAAATATTCATAATCACTAATTATTTCTCTGATGCAAATTAAACTGCTTATCTTGGATGTTAATAATCATATTTGTATATAAGCCCAGGCCCAGTCCACCCATGACCCATCCCTTAACTTAGCCCAATCCATCCATGTGTATTCTGTAGACAAAAAAACCAAACGGAAGAAAAGGGTGCAAGTGCCGATCGAACTTAGAAGAAACCCAGAAACGTCCGACCGGAAGAAACAAGAGACTAGAGAACCGAGTCGCCGCCTCCACCGCCGGACGCCGAGTCGCCGACCTGCACGCCTCCACCCTCCAGGTAATTATTCATAATCTTCCCTTTCCAATTTTGTAATTTTTTGTTTCTCAATCTTAATTTTCTTTCATTGTTTCATTTTTTAGATTTAAAATATAGGGTTAATTATTAGTTTTAAATTTGAAATCTTTGAAATAGAATGAATGAATGGTTCTATATGTTATTTATTTGATTTGGATGAATTGATTTGAATTTGTTATTTATGATAATTATATATTTATAGTAAAAAAACTGAAAACCGAGAAAAAAAATTAGAAACTGATAAATTGATGAATTGATATGAATTTATGATTTATAAAAAAAATTAAAACTGAAAAAGAAAAAAACAATTAAAAAAAGAAAAATTGACGAATTGATATTAATTTATGATATATTTATTTATTTATTTGCTTGCTTTTTTCAGTTTTTTATTCTTGATTTTACTTAGTAGAATGTATGATTTTGGATTTTATTTCAGAAATAATTCAATAGCTATGGCTCCTAAACAATTATCCGGTAGTCAAAAAAGAAAAAAGAGAAAGCGAGATGAAGAAATGAGAAAGTCTCAATCCGGAGCTCTATATAAGTTTATGAAACCTGTTGCTGAATAATATTGCGTTAATTATAATTTAAATATAATAGTTTTACATATGTGAATTTTTTAGACTATTAAGAATAAGACTTTTAGGGCCTTTTTTCTGTTTCGGCCCAAGAATCCTCAGGACCGGCCCTGATCTCCATCTTCCTTAGTCGTCATCTTCATTCTGCTTTAAGACTGCGGAAATTGGGTATGGTTGAAAATCCCAAATATCTTAACCAATTTTTTTTTATCTTTACAGGACTTCTTGTTTGTTTGCTTGTTCTTGCCTGTGTTAATGTTATAATATTCCTTATTGGGCTTTCATCGTTGTGGCTGTTAGTGTTATAAGCTTAGAGGGGCTTGTTTTCCACACTAAATATTGCACTTTAGCCTCAGAATGACACTTCATAGGTCATACAAAGTATTTTAAACTCTAAACCCTTTGATTTTCTGATCTTTCTAGATCCCTTTGAAGTATTTTATAACAAATCATTGTGCTACATTTCACTCGTATTAAAATTGTAACCAACCTAAAGATTCATCATTTCAATAGGTGTAGAACTATATAAGATCAAATGCGAAACATTTGCTACTGCAATTTTGAATTGACTTCGACCCATTGAATTTTAATTTTACTTCTACCAATGAAACAGGTTAGGTTCTTAATCTGTGTAAAACAGAGGGAAGGCCCTAATTTGAGAGGGAGACACCGGAAGTTTAAATTTAACCAGAAAAAAGAACTCACAAACAAGAAACTGAGCACTGGTAAAGAATCAAGGTCCAACAATGTCGTATGATGACGTGGAGATAGAGGATATGGAATGGAACGAGAAGCTTGAAGCATATACATACCCTTGCCCGTGTGGAGACTTGTTCCAGATAACGAAACATGACCTAATGCTTGGGGAGGAGATTGCTACATGTCCAAGTTGCTCACTTTACATTACTGTCGTCTACAACCCCGAAGATTTTCAAGCCAAACAGGCCACGCAACCCCATGTTCCTCCTGAATCGCTGCCTGTTGCTGCCGCTTGAGTTGCCACTTGGGTCACAAACTCTTGGCTACTTTTCTTAAATTGAATTAGGTTATGAATTAGGTTATGCAGGTTATATGTTTTTGTATGACTGTTTCTTTTAGTAATGTGCTGAAATCGGAGAATCTTTTTCATGTTCTTTTGCCCACTTTTCTACCGTAATCCGTCGTTGATGCGCTTTCATTACATATTACTGCATTTTCTTGTGTGGTGTTCTATTCATATGTTCCATATCTCACTCTTGGTTCAGTCGAAAAGAAAAAGACCCCGTATTGGCGTGGGTTTGTGTTTGGACATGATTTTGGTTTTTTTGTTCTCTAATAGTCAAGGTCCAGAGTCAAGATCATCCTTTTAAATGCATATGCTTGTGGATTGTTTAGCTTTGTTTAAGTGAATGTATATTGGTTGTATATGTCCCCTTTCTCAAAGCTCTTCTCTGTTACAAAGTTCTTATGAACATGGCGGTTCTGGTAATGCATCTTGTGAAGACACAAAGGCAGAGTATCTGAGGGTAACTTTCAAATGTGTGGGACGAGTTTTAGACCAATTGAATCGAGATATTCTATTTTATATTTGAATGTAAAGGGTGTCTGCAGTCTGTAGTTGTGACTTGTGTGATCACAAAAATGGTCCTTTTTTTTAAATGCTCAGTTTGAGTTTAAATAATTATGGTGTGTTTGGGAATTTGAATTTCAAATCCATAGTTGAATCAAATTACTTGTTTTGGAATTCAAAGAATTCGAATTTGAACCAAATTTGTCTATGGATTTGATTATAAGATGAATAGATAATATTAATATTTACTCTGTATTTAATATGTGAATATAAGAACCTATCTTGATTTCATTTTGATTGAAATAAATAAAAAAAATTAACTATATCACCATTTCAGATCATTGGTTATAGTTACGGAGTATATTTTAAAGTTTTTACGTTGATTAAAAAGATAACAAATACTTTCTCTGTTTCATAATTTTTTAATTCTTTTATTGTTTGATCCTTAATGGTCATTGACCATTGATATATATTTTTTATACTAAACATACATTGGGACGGAGAAAATACAAATATATGTTATAAACTACTTCCTCCGTCCCTATTCAAATTATCTGTTTAGTTTTATGATATTTGGCTGAAGTTATTTTTCAAATCATTTTATATGAAAAATTGTGTAGAATTAAAAAAATAAAAAAAATGATATATTTAAATACTACAAAAGATTACAAAACTAGTGGTAACATGATTATATTATTTTATCAAATGACTAACGAAAATAGAAAAAAAAATGAATGAAATATGTTTATACGAATAACAAACATTTAATTTAAGATGTAGAAAATACATTTTAAAATGAATTTTCTAATATGAAATTTATATCATAAAATATATTTTTACTACAACTACTGATCAAGAAAAGTTAAAATAGGAAGAGAATAATGGGATGGGAAAATAGTACACTCAAATATAAAAACGTGGCGAAGAATGAGAAATATGGGACGGAGAGGTGCGAGGAAGTCTTGAAGGCAGTGGATAAAGCTGTGTAAAAAAAGAGGATAATGAAAATGGAGGTGCGGGGAATCGAACCCCGTGCCTCTCGCATGCGAAGCGAGCGCTCTACCATATGAGCTACACCCCCTTGATGATTTTCATTGTTTATTCTTTATTTATAGATAAACTAATTTATGTGTGTCTGTGCCCATATGTGGGAAGGACACGCGACCGTAATTGTTTACTTCCTCTAACCTAAAATTTTCTTCTTCCTCACTATTCACAATAAATTTTTATATTACTCCACTCCGTCCTAAAACGTTTTTTCTATTTTTGTTTACGAGCTTTGATTTATTTTATTTTTAATTCAATTTATTTGATTGTAAGCGTAAAACAAAAATATTAAATTTACATATTTAAAAAATGAAAAATGATATATTTAAAAACTACAAAAGATTACAAAACTAGTGATAACATGATTATATTACTTTATCAAATGACTAACAAGAAGACTATATTATTTTATTAAATAACTATCAAAAATAGGTAAAGAAAGTGAGTAAAGTTTGAGCGTGTGAATAATAATTGGGAATAATGTTTTAGGACGGATGGAGTAATTTTTTTCTTAATTTTTATTAGCAATTTAATAAAATTATATAATCATGTCACTTTTTGCTTGCGAAAATTTTAATATAATTTTTAAAAATATACATTATATTTTAAAATTTTACACTTATAATCAAATACATTGAATTAAAAATAATTTCAGTCAAACCTTGTTTATAGAAATCAGGGCCGGCCCCGAAAAATGAAAAAATAAAATTGGTCTGGTCCAAAATTTACATTTTGTGCCCTATTTTATATTTTTAGAATACTTTTGCTTTAAAATTATTAACAAATTTAAAAATATGGTGCCCTAAATTTTAATGTGCCCTGTGCGGTTGGCCACTTTGCACACCCTCCGGGCCTCCCATGATAGAAATAAAAAGAAAGTTTTATTTAGTAAAATTTGTTGATGCTTTTTCATTCCACTGGTTTTTTTTCATAATATAGAAGTATTGATACATTAATATATACTCGTGGTTTATTTTAATTGATTCTTAAATAATTATTCGCTTTGTCATAAATTAAATTATCATTATGATTGACTCTTTTGATCCTATTGTCCATTGACAATCCTCTAACTAAGAGGGATTTATTAGTTAAGGATTTGGTAAAGACTAAAGAGTTTCGTTGTGATTCATCAATTATATTTGGAATACTTACAAATTCTTAAATTTTAGTCTTTTCGTTCATTGCCATAATTTTGCTTTTCCATTTTCAAAATAGAGTTTAGACCGTATATAACTACTTACGAAAATGCTATTATTAGCTTGTATAGTTGTTGTATCTGTGGTTTTTTGTTCATCTCCACTCCATAAGCATTGGCATATCCAAGTAGTTTGAACTTTGCTTTCAAACTTCCACCGTCCCGTAACACTTTTCAAAGGTAAAAAACATAGGCGTCCTAACAATGGATATATTTGATATTATTATTAAATTACATGAGTCATTTCTCCTACAAATCATATTATATTTTATTATAAAGTAAAACCAATATTTGAAAATAATACCAAAATTATAAATTTTTAGGATGTACTTTTTTTCGTCTTTAAAAACTGTTATGAGACAAAGGAAGTAACTTCTTCCATCTTCAAAAAAATGACAAATTTTTCTGTGGTTTTAAGATACACATACATACTCCTTTTATGAATCTAGAAGTTACTTTTAGCCCATCCTGGTTAATAGGCCCGCCCATATTCATCAAATACATTTACTTTATTATTAATTACCTAGCCAATATAAATTTTAAATTTTTCTGTAATTCATGTATAATTGTTCAATTCATTCACCTCTCTTAAACAAAAATCAATAGTTTTTTAATGAATCAGTATGATGGGTTCATTAATTACGCAACAATACCTTTGTTATACCTTCTATGTAAATATGGTGACTCGTAATTTTATTTTAAACATTGAAAAAAGAGTTTAATGTTTTTTTTTTGAATTTTTTGTGTAAAAATTAAAAGATTTTCTTGATAAGGTGGGTAAATTGTTTAGCCCATTAAATTTGGACTGGGGCCCATGTAAATGGGATAATAATTTGTATCAAGCCCGGCCCAGATCCAGCTCGAATCCTTTTTTGCATAGGTTTAGACTGACACTGAATGGAATGATGTGATGGGCGTGATAACGTGATTCACACCGTGCCCATCAGATTTATAGCTTTCACTTTACTAAAATACAATTGTAAATAAAAAAATTGTCTTAAATAGGGCTAAAACATAAGTTTTCCGAATGTAGGATTTAAACTTTTTTATTCCTTAAATAAGACTTAATAATATCTAGTAGGAGGAATAATGTCCAGTGATGTTGACCATTTACTTGAATAATGACCAATGGTCCTGCATTGGAAAATTAAAACATATGATCGAGAAAGTTACTATGTTTTAGTCCTATTTAGGTAAATTCTCTCTTTAAGTATTTGCCAATTGCTTTAACTTATTGATTATGGCTTTAGAAATAAAAATTATGGGTTAAAATGTTTTCTAACAAAACTAAAAACAATTGTTTTTCGCTTTGAACTTATGATTTCTATTTTTTCATTATTAACCACACCCTCAAATACCTTCTAAGTACTCAACATAACAGCATACTTTCTTTCTTTAATTTATCTTTGTTGGAGTATCTCTTTTCTTTAATTTTTTTCTTTACTTTTTTTTTTGCATTCAAACAAAGCATAAATGAAATACTCCCTCCGTCCCAAAATATTTGCCACGCCTACTTTTTCAGCAATCGCGGAAACTTTTGTATATTTCTATATTTTCATTGATTATTTGATGAAATAAAATATTTTTGTCACCTCTTATTTTAAAGAACTTTTCATGTAGATTTTTGATATGTAAATTTTATTTTTTATTTCTATACTAATATGTAAATAAAAAATGAATTGAAAAAATTTGATATTTTACCTCAAGAATATAAGTGTGACGAATATTTAGGAAGAGAGTGAGTAATAGAATAAGGAGGCCAAAATTGAAAGGAACTCTAATAAGAACCCTGCCAAAATAAGAATTAAACTTTTTCTTTTATCAATACTCAGCCAAAAAAAATTCTGTAAGCATATTGCGAAGAAATGTCTGGCCAAAGAAAGAAAAAATGAAACAATTGAAAAGTCCGTTTTCGGATCTGCTGCATTGAGAATTACGCAACTCCCTATTTACAAAAGTCAAAACGTTTCGTTGCTAGCTGGCATCGTAACTTCCGCCCCGTTTTCTTTGCAATTGAAACCGGCGCGTGCGGTCAAAGACGCGTCATGAAACCTCCACGGCGCGTCCCGCTCACCGTTCCGGGGAATTCTCCGTCAGAACCCACACTCTCACCGACCTGTCCAAACTCCCACTGTACACTCTCCACCGCCCTCCCCCCTCCTCCACGGCGGCCAAGCACTTCACCGGCCCGTCGTGCCCCGTCAGCACGGTGACGCAAACGTGGACCCCACCGAACTCGCTCCTCCTCCACACGCAGATGCTCTTGTCCGCCGAGCCGCTCACCACCAGACCCCCCGCGCCGGCGGCCAGGCAGAGCACGGCGAGCCTGTGCCCCCTGAGCGCGCCGCCGTACTCCAAGAATTCATCTTCCCGCCGCCGCCACCAGAACCTGACTAGCCCGTCGGATGACCCGGCGTACACCGCGTCGGAGCTGACCGCCAGTGACGTCACCGCGCTCTCCTGATCCAACAGCGTCTCCACCGCCACATGCCTCGCCGCAGTCCCCACCAGTTCCCGCCGCCATGCTTTCACCGTCCCGTCGGCGGACCCGCTGAAAACAAAACCGTCAAATCCGACGGCGACGGAGTTAACGGCGTCGTTATGGGCATCGATCGATTCAACGCACTTCCAGTCCTTTAGCCGCCACACCTTTATCGTCTTGTCCCATGAACCGGAGTACAGTAAACCCCGGCTCAAATCCACGCTCATGCACGAAACGGCGTCGTAATGCCTGACCCACGGTACGCTCCGGCGTCTCCTGACCGCCACGTAAGCCTTCGGGTTGATGGAATTCTTCAAATACTGAGTCACGGTCGGTAAACTACCAACCCGGCGGTAGTGACTACCGGTCCGCCCGGAACTTCTCCAGACCCGGATTTTCCCGTCGTGGTGACCCGTGAAAACCACTCCTTCCAACACAACAATGGCTTTGACGAAACCGCTTTTGGACTTGAACCCGGAAACCTCGCGGAACCCGCCGTCCCAAACCCGGATATTCCTACTATCTGAACCCGTGTACACGAGATCTCCGCAAGCCGCGAGCGAGTACACGTGTCCCTCGTCCCGGACGAGGGTTGCCACGTGGCGGAAGGTCCCGCCGGAGCAAGGTGCCGGCGGGAGGTGAAGCCAGGGGGATTTCGTGTAGGGAGATGCGAGTTCGCTCCATGGGGAGGAGGGAGCGGTGGTGCTGCTGCTGCTGCTGTAGAGGGGCGAGGTGTCGCCGCTGCTTTCGTGGTGGTCGTCTAGAATGGCGGGATCGGAGTAGTGAAGAAACGATCGGAGGTTTTGCCGGGCGAGGGTAGTCGCCGGCGTTAGGTTATAATTGGTCTTGGTGGTCGCTTTTGCCATGGGGTGGTAGATGGTTGGTCATTTAGAAGGAAGGGGAAATGGATAGTTTGGGAGAGAGATATATATAAGGGTGGGGAGAAGGGATAAATAAAGGTAACGTGTGTGGGAAGGAATGAAGGAAAGGGACACGTGTGAGGACGGTGGAGGTTGAAAATTACGAATGCGGCTTGACTGGACAGATGAAGAGTTCTTTTTATTCATATTCGTATGTAAATTTGATTGCAATATGTGGTCAGTGGTCTCACAATTTGATTTGATCATTGTGTCATGTTTTGTTGCATACACAACAAAAAATAAAATACTTCTTCCGTTCACAAAAACACTTCATCTTCCATTTTTTTCACTTTCAACAAAACACTTTTACTTTTTATTAAAAAATCATTTTTACCCTTACTTTTTCATACCCTACATATCACATCATACTTTTTCTCTAATAATCTACTCATCATATTTTACTTTTACCAATCACATCAGGGGTAAAATTGGAAGTCAACTACTCCCTCCGTCCCAAAAAGAATGGAACGGTTTGACTTTTTGGGAAATTAAGGGAGGGATATTTTGGTATTGATTTTCCAACAATATCCTTAATGTGATGGATAAAAGTAGGATGTGATGGGTAGATTATTAGGAAAAAGGTATGATGTGATAGGTAGGGTATGAAAAAGTAAGAGGTAAAAGTGGTTTTTTAATAGAAATGTAACGGACTTTACGGGACACAGTTTTTTCTAAACGTAACAAACTTTTTGGGACGGAGGGAGTACAATTTAACACTTCTTTATTTTTCTATTTTTTCAAAATAGGAACTCTTTTTGAGAAGGGAGGGAATAATATTTTATTTTATCAAACAATTAATGAAAATATACCAACAAATAAATTTTATTGAGAAGAGATAGAGAAAATAAAATTGTACTTCCTCCATCCATAAATAAATTACCCGTTGCGGGTTACGATGTTTAGCTGAAGTTATTTTCAAATCATTTTATATGAAAAATAGTGTAAATTTTAAAAATAAAAATTACATATTAAAAAAATTATATCAAAAAATCTACAAAGTTAGAGATGACATGAAGGTATGAAGGTGTTAATAAGAATATTTACTCCGTATAACGACATAACGCACGCATATCAAACAAGTCACTTCACACAAATTAAAACATGAGATGAATGTGGCGGATTTTATTAAATGAGATTCAATTAAAGTTTGACTTGCATGGGCCTAACTTTGTTTATTTCTATTTCTTTCCATTTTGATTTTTAAAAAACTCAAAAAAAGAGATATTTTAATGTTAAATTTCTACAAATATTTTTAATGTGATAGCTAAAAGTAAAATTTAATATATAAATTATTAGTAAAAAGATATGATATAATAAATAGAATAAAAATTAATAGTGAAAAATAATTTTTTAATAGAAAAAAAAAAGATGGGGCAAAAGAGTTTATAGGACAAAAGAGTACGTAATTAGCAAGTGAAATTTGCACTAAATAGGACTAAACATAAGTCATTTCCTAATGTAGGACTTAAACTTTTTTATTCTCCAAATAAGACTTAATAATGACTACTGAGAAGAATAATGTCTAAGTGATGCTGGACATTTAGTTGAATAATGACTACTCCCTCCGTCCCCCTGTATTTGTCCACATTTGACTTTTGGAACTGTTCATCTTAGCACTTTGACTCATCAAATTCTCTCAATGTGTAAGTCTAAATATAGTCATGTGTGATCTTGTTTGGTTTGTCTTAACATATAGATTATTAATATATAATTTTAATAATTTTTTAATATACAAATTACAAGATAAAATGGATTAAAGAAGTGCATTGGATGATGTGTAAAAATAAAAGTGGACAAATACAGGGGGGCAGAGGAAGTAATAGATAATGACCCAAGGTCCTATATTGGGAAATAAAAGCATATGATCATATATTGAGAAAGTCATTATATTTTAAATTTTAATCCTATTTTTGGTAAATTACTCAATTAGCAAATAGTCATTATGTTTTAGTCTTATTTATTTAGTCTTCATATTTTATAATCAAAATTGAAAAATCTTGATTATAAACTAAATTAAATTAAATTAATATTAAATATTGGTATAAAATAGTTTTAGTAGATTTATCTTGTAAAATATTTTCAAAATATTATTTTATCTAATTAATACTCCCTCCGTCCGGATTTTAAGTACCCATTTTGACTTTTGGCCATTTTTATTGGGTGTTGACTTTGGGAAGGAAATGTCTAAAATACCCTTATCCCATTCCCCTTCCCCTTCACTGTTATCTCAACCTTACCTTCCCTCATCCTAAGCCCACACAACCACCGCCACCTCCCAAGCGCTCCATCGACCCAACCCACACCACCACCGTCACCTCCACCCGCCGCACCCCCACTGTCACCACCAATCCCTGACTTGAATACCTGTAATTGCTCCAACTTCATTGCCGCCCCAACTCCCACTACCACCAGCCCCACTGCCGCACCCAGCCTATCATCACCGTCGGCTCACCATCGCCGCCGACACCATCACCGGCAACCCCGCATAAATGGATTTTTCAGATTTTTTAGATCTGAAAAAACAAACGAGATCTAGCAGAAGAAATTGACAAAAAGAAGAAAAAGAAGAGGGGAAGAGAGAGAGGGGGGGGGGAGATGAAGGCTAGATCTAGCCAAAAAAAAGAAAGGGAAGGAGGAAGATTGAGAAGAAAATGATGGGGGAGAGGAAGAGAAAAGAAAGATTGGAAGAAGAAGGAGAAGGAAAGAAGATGAGGAAGATAACGAGAAGAAAAAGAATGGGGAGAGGAGAGAAAGAGAGAGATCTAGAGAGAGAGACGAGGTTACCTGGTCAGAGGTTCTCTGGCTGAGAGAAAGAAGAAATTAAAAACAAGAAAGGAGGAGATAGGATGAGGAGGGAGGGGTAATTTAGGAAGATTGGGTATGAAAACGTAGACTGAGAACTTTATTTCCGGACGGAAAAAAGCGTAGACTGAGAACTTAAAATCCGGACGGAGGGAGTAGAACATATTATTTTGGTTTAATCATTGTGTTAAAAGAGTATCCCACATCGGAACTTGGAGAGAATATAAACCGGTATATAAGCCCTTGAGTTGAACTAACTAATCGATTGGATTCAATCTTTTAATGCAGTTCAACCCAAGTGTCTTATTGCCTAATCTAGTTGTCCATAACCCATCCTGAATTCTATCATGGTATCAGAGCAGGTTTTGGCCCACCTCGTTTGTCAAGGTGTCCGTCTAGACGTTCATTTCTAGCGGCCCGTTTGTCTTTAGCCCAGTTGTCCGTATGGAGTGTGTACCCAACGGCCTGCGGCCTGTTTAACATGATTGCTCGTCTGGAAGTCCATACCCAGCGGCTCGTGGTCTTTAGGTGTTGGCGCTCAAAAAAAAAGTCAAGGGAATGGGAGTTCATTTGCAAGTGGTCAACCGGTTAGATTCAAAATAGCCCAGTTGTCCACTTGAGGGGAAGTGTTAAAAGAGTATCCCACATCGGAACTTGGAGAGAATATAAACCGGTATATAAGCCCTTGAGTTGAACTAACTAATCGATTGGATTCAATCTTTTAATGCGGTTCAACCCAAGTGTCTTATTGCCTAATCCAGTTGTCCATACCCCATCCTGAATTCTATCACATTGTTCAAGGATTGCTTGTGGTTGATTTTACAAAGTAAAAAATGTACAAACTAAACATTGTGAGACGGAGGCCGTACTTGCTACTAGAAATGAACAAAAAGACTACTTATTAGATCAAAAACATTGATCGATATAGAATGAGATTTGGACAAAAAAGATGAAATCAAAATAATCCTTTATATCCGTTGGATTTTGAGTTGGACGGATTGAATTATGTCATACAGTTTTGATTTTTTATTCATAGACTAATAAGTAATATCGGTCTCGACTCTCGAGTGAACTTTTTTTAAATATTACGTAGACCGAAACCAGACGAAGTAATACATGAGAAATACTTTGTGAGTAATTTACCTACCTAAATAGGACTAAAATATAATGAATTTTTCAATATAGAGTTATATATTTTTATTTCCTAATGTAGGACCATTGGTCGTTATCTATTAGTCATTATTTTTCAAAGTAGATGATGAGGATGCTACTTTAATTCTGTTAGTGTCTTTCCTCGAGCCATATGAAAACTTTGTTGAATCTTTTATGGCTGATAAAGAAATTTTGTCTCGGGAAGATGTTCGATCTGCTCTCCACGTGAGAGAAGATCGTCAACAGGCAACTAATTTAGCTATAGAAAATCAGGCATTAGGACTATCTATTACCCCTTTAGAGGTAAGGGACATAAGACTTAATTCCTTAGGCAAAGGAGAAGAGGAATTCGCGGCTACCGTGTACGTACTCCGTTTAAAGATACAGGGGGGAAGGGTTTCCTTCGCCGACTCGAAGGGACGACGGCGACAAATCGAGACATTAGTTTTGTAGAATGGAGGAGATAGAAGGGAGATCATATTTTATTTTCCTTTGTATTTTGTAGTGTAATGCCAAAAACATGGAAAAAAATTATTGTCATTTTTTAATCTCCATAGGTTCTCAGACGCCCCCCAGACTCACTACTCAGGCTTTATTTTATTTTAGTACAACATATATCCTTGGAGGTGGTGTAACGATATTCATGTTGGACTCACCGGGCATCCTTTCAAGATACGTCTTATTTCATGTTTATATATATTATCATATCCTTTCAAGATACGTTTATTTCATGTTTATATATGTTTATTTTAGTATACTTCAAATTTACACATATTTATCGATTGATATATAGTCATCAATTTATATTAGGGTCAATAAATAAAATACAAAAATCTTTTAAATGAAATATTAACAATATATTTTTCAAATTAAATTAGAATCTCTATTTATTTAAAATATTTATTTGAAAAAATATATACTCCCTTCATTAGGAAAAATATCCTTATTTGACTTTCACATATGTAGTTTAAAAAAAATTTTAAAAATAAAAACTTTATAGTTTGAATATGTGTAGAAAAAACAAATAAGAGTTGTGAGTCACTCATTCCTTTTTAAAAAGAAAATGAATTTTTTAGACAGACAAAAGGGAAAGAATGAAGTCTTGTTTGAACTTGACAAAAATGTGTACAATTTTTTGTAAAATATAGATAGCATATATTTTTTCAAATTGATTAAG